TGTAATTTTGACACCAAAATCGGCGACCCAAAGAACCTTAAGTATTAAGTTTCAGAAAAATTGGCTGGAAAGAAAAATGTATTCTTCCAAGGGTTAATCACATTAATCGGGCACGTAGCTCTTTGCCACTTTACGAAGCAGCCATAACGTGCAGCGGAGGTTATTGCTTCCTTCGCTTTTCAAGAAACAAAGAACCGGGTCAATAGTACTTGCACTTTATATATTTTGCTTCTCTTCAAACAAGTCGACCTCTATTCAAGCGATAACAGAACCCGCATTGTGATTACAACACATGGCCATATTCTGGAGTGCATACACAAAGCTTGAAGTTGGAAAACGTAATAAAAATTGTATAGAGGAAAGCCCCCTATTATGAGATAGGCTCCTAATGTAAGATAGCAGAGTTTCTGCTAAATTAATAGGCGTCATCTGTCAGTTCTATCGTGAATTTATTCCCTTGGAGTGAAATCTCTTTAGTGGAAAATTCGTTGTTAGATCATTGTGTAATCGTTGCGAAAAAAGATTTGTGACTGAATTCGGGTGAAAACCTACTATCTCATATTAAAAATCTATCCCGTAATAGGGTACTTCCCTCTACTATTGATTTTAAAATTTACAATAGAAATGTTAATTAAATTTATGAGTTATTAGCGTATATGCATAAAGTTAAACGTCTTCTTCTTCCTCGTGTATTAGCCTGTTTTATTCGGTTCTCGTTCTGGTACTTTGAGCATTTGGTTTTACTCCATCTTCGGCTGCTAAAGGCCTTCACACATAAAATTCCGTAAGGACGTAAAACGTAAGCGTAAGAAAATCAACAGGTTGGATTTGCTACTGCTTGCGTCATTGCCTTACGTTCTCGACTGTGATTGGTCGATTTTCTTATGCTTACGTTTTACGTCCTTACGGAATTTTATGTGTGAAGGCCTTAACCTTGCCGAAGGATACCTCCCATCTGGAGGGCTATATCTCTGAAGGGGTATGCGTGGCAAGATACTCTCGGTGGTTACCACTTCCCTTTGGGAGATTCCGAAAAAAAAACCAGCGGTGTCCGTGGATTTGAACTCGGATCTTTTCGTTCATTTGTTTACTAAGCAGCGCGCATTTCTCTGCGACACACTTGCCACCAATTACGTTATACGTAATGTCCCTAATTAATCGATAACGATAGTTATTATTCGACCTGATTGTAAGTGGCACGATAAGTCCGAGTTAGAGATAGACTCGAAATAATTTACGATCACGATATTCGTATTTCCACAACGTCATGTTTACGTGTGTAGGGCAGCGTTGATTAAATTCGTAAAAAAAAATAATTATATTATATAAGATCAACGTGTCGCACATACAGAGTACTTATGATCATAATATTGTGCAGTCACGCAATAAACGTCATTAGGCGATAAAATGTTCACAGGCAAATTATCTTACGAGGCAATAAATGCCTCGCTCGTTAACTCGCCGAGTACAGGAACGGGGTGTATACAGGATATTCCAGAAATCGTATGTTTCCTGTTGATTACCTTGAAAGCCATTTGAAGAGGACATCAGGGCGTTTCCTAGAAACAGCAATAATGTCTGTACTTGGTCAAGATAGAGCGGACACACATTCAGAGCGAACGATAATCAATATCGTAGTTAATAAAAGACAAAGTTTATACTTTTTATTTAGTCTAAAGGAATAAATGGCATCTTGTTTAGCGATAAATAAAACGGATCCGTAGCGGCGTCGCCAGATACATACGTGACATAATATATAGATGGATCGTTTCTAAAGACAAAGATCGGTGATAAAGATACCTCATCGATTTAAAGCTTTTTAATTAGCGCGCTATTTGCAATTCATTGCTAATCTTGATCGACCTGTGTTTGGACATTCAAATATTTGCATGCGGTCCGTTCTGTCGCTCAACCCTACATTCTAAAATACTCGGACACTGTCCCATCTATACCTTTGTACAAAAGCAGATTGGAAACCTGTTTACCTTGAATTGAAATCGAAATAGCCTACGTCTTACTATGCCATTACGATTTTATGCATCTTCACGTTCGGCTCGCAAATATTTGCGCACGTAGCGAGCCACGGGTGGCTAGCTAGATGACCAGGTGGAGGATACTCATATGAATGACGTACGTGACAACGGTGGCATTTATCTTCCTCGGGGAATGTTAAATTGCCACTTTGCGTACATACGTAACGTCACTGTCTTATGGCAAGACAACACGTGAACGTAATGCAAAGCGTGTCTTTAAGCAATTATTTCGCCCGTTGCTTTCGTACGAAAAACTTTGGTATGATGAATGAAAATAAACAACACTTCCTTGCCTTGATAATTAAAGATTATAAACGATTAAAGCAAACGAAACATTTCTTGCGACGCTTGCAGAGATCTCGGTGACTTAAACGCTCCTTAAACAATCTCCCATCAGAACTGGAAAAAGCGTGACTATAAAGTAAACTTTTAAAATGCGATATTGCAACAATCAAAAAGTATCCAATTTTTATTTTCTATTAATTAGGGACATTTTTAAATATATTTACATGTTTTTTACTGTTATATGTTCTATGTAAAAATGATATAACATCAAGAATTATTTGACGCCAGTACATAACTAACAATAATTAAGCTTTCAATCGACCATAACAGGCAACGTGTCTTTAACACAGAAAATTTATTGCGAAAAATATTACCTCAGCCGGGATTTGAACCTGGACTTCCCTGCTCTCTAGGCGGGCGTCTCACCAATTCAACCACTGAGGCATGTGGTAATATTTATCGCCTTAAACAGTATTTATGATGACATCTTCGCGTTTATTTTTCAACTAGAACTGCGCACCGGTACGGGTTGTCGGCTGTACACACAACTATTGAAACGCGATTTTTAAGTATCCCCGTTCCCTTTCCTCCCCCACTTGGACACCATATTTGGTCTAGGTGTATAAATAACATCAAGAATTATTTGACCCCATCACGAAGATGTCACCATAAGTACTGTTTCTTGCGATAAATATTACCACATGCCTCAGTGATCAAATTGGTGAGACGACCGGTTAGAGAGTAGGGAAGTCCAGGTTCAAACCCCGGCTAAGGTAATATTTTTCGCAATAAATTTTCTGTGTTAAAAACACGTTGCCAGTTATGGTCGATTGAGAGCTTCATTATTGTTAAAAATTATATATTATATTTTGTTATTTAATATCTTATATACTTTATGTATATACTTTCATGGTTTTTGCAAATGTATCAAAATTTTTAAGCCGAAGAACTAATTTTGAGATTCGTTCTGCTGAGTTTTTGTGCAGAGCCATTGTTTCGCTGATTATGCAGTTCGTGACATGGGAAACAATATGCAAAGTTTTGTCACTCGTATACATTAGCGTGCTCGTTGTTTTTTTCCTTGGGGCAAACGCATGCGTTGCAATACTAACTTAAAATCAAGTGTTTCTGTTGGGGGGGGGGAGGGGGGACGTGATTGCTAAAGCATCGTCCAGACCATTATCCACTTCTCTACCTGCGATTTTGAAATAAGAATACTAGTGAAATCGAGAGCTGTAAAGGGAGGTCAAGTTATACGACATTCGACCTTAGAACGACAATCGTATTCTGGTATTGCTATCGTTCTTGACATTTATGAAGATCGGTAATTTTTTTTCATACAAAACAGGTACTTTTTTCTTTCGTTTTATAGATTCTTTTACCGATGCAGGAATTTTAAAAAATTTGCCTGCATATCATCAATTCGAATAAAATTATGCTTGCTTCGCGTCGAGAAGTAATATAGGTTTTGTTTCTTTTAGGCCGGTAAGAAATAAAATGTGTTTGTCGGTCGAATCGATAGCGAGTAGAACAGTAAAGTAGTCGTAAAAATACAGGGGAAATTTTATTAATTGAAGAAAACGGGATTCCCCACATTCCCAGCGTATTACAATGTTCTTAAGATTCTTGATAACAAAACTATTTTGTAATTAACATGAGAAAGCTGTTTCAAACTACGTAGATAAATTTCCCTTTCGTCATGATTATGATTTAAAAAATGTATAATGTTTTATTATATACGAGACATACAAAAGGTGTAAAGTAGATATTGCATATTACAATAATTACTTAACCAAGTGATTTATCAAGTAAATGAAATAAAATGAACACAGCGATACGCAATTTTTTATTTTTAAACGTACTAAAACAGTAGAAACTGTAATGCTAAGTCGAATCGTTAGATAATTAATTACGAATTAAAAAATATACAAATTGTATGTCTGTGTGATTATTATCAAAATTTTGTGCCGCTCTTAGTTGCTTCCTTTCATTATAGAGATCACTCAACAATTAACAACCGAGCTTGAGACGCAACTAATTAGTTTTCAATGTTGTGAGAAATCCATCAATTTAAGTCGCTCTTCCGGCCTTGCGCTTATACGTGATTTACACGAGCTGGTCGGCTACACACGCGAATATAATGTAATAACAACTTTATTTGTCTTGAACTTTGTCCTGTTCTCTTTGTCCGATATCCCCGAGATATTAGCAGTAGTCGATGTCATAAAAAGCAGCGATTTATATGCAATCTTAGTGCGATGGTCAACGGTTAACTGATGATATTTAAAAAAAAACTTATTAATTCTGATTAATGCGGAATTAATGCTCGTCGAGAGTATCACACAACACTCAATTAATTCGCCATTGCAAATATATGCGTAAGCTTGTTTTTCACGATTCGCGTGAATATCTTAATCCGAAAGACCAATATGAGTGAATGCAATGGCCAAATAAATAAACGTAGCCTATCTCTGTCTCTCATTACGTTATCCCACATGTTTGCGTTAAAAAATATTTGTCGAAAGATAACCATTTCATGTTATTCTACTAAATCCTTTTGATGCACGTCCATCGGAAGTATCCTTTAGTGGCCCAAGTTATCGAAATATTATTGGCAGTTGGAGAATATTGAGAGATTCACGCTTAATTTGCAGAGATCTAAAAGTTTCACTCCATTTTCAGATGTAAAGACGATCCTGAAATCCGTCAGCGGCAGACTGCGGTCCAGCGAGCTAACGGCTATTATGGGCCCTTCAGGCGCTGGGAAGTCAACGCTCTTAAATATCCTCACCGGATACAAGTGAGTCAGCGTGGAGCTTCCACACGATACACTTATTGCCAGTAAAATAATAACGTAACGACGCATTAGATCGGCGCTAAGCGTGAAAGGCGTGCGCGGATTATGAATAAAATGTATTCTTGCGCAAGTTAATCGCTAGAATGAGATACAAGCTCGCGCTTGTCACCTTGTTATCGTAATATTAGTGGGTTACGTGTTTCCACAGATGCAAATGGATTGGTAGTAGTACCAGCGGATAAAAGGTCATTTCGTTGACTCTCTATCAGTTGAACAGCTTTTACTGATAATGTTTCATGATTCACTCGCGTGTTCTTATTGTTTTCAAGATTGTTTGTAACATCGTTACTAATTCTATGCGGTTAAAAGTAAAATTACTGAGGGAAAAGTCGAGAAGACGAAAAAATCCACTCGAGAATAGCGAGGGAATTTCAAGAAATTTTAACTTATCGTCTAGAATGGTCTTCATAAATTAGGGATTCGCTTTATTATTTGTATTAAATCATCTTATATCACATAATGAACTTTCAAGTAGCGTGTTCTCATATGTTGTTTAATCTTATATCACGTTGCCGGTTGATTATCATTTAATATATCACTACGAAATATATTTTCCAAACGTCCACTTCTCAAAGATCCGTCAAACAGGATATTCAAGCAGAGTCGCCAGTTCGAATCGCCGGTGGCTTTTATTCCATTTCTCCGATCGCAGAACGTTCGTATTCTCATCCAGCATCAACGCGCGAAGCATTTCGTCGGCTCTCGCGCTTATCTTTACTCTGGAAAAGAGAGACTGTTAACAACCCATTTTGGGGCCCACAATTAGTAATCGAGTTATTTGGATTGTTCGTAACTCGACTCTGGGAAAAATTTGGACTGGTTGTTTTTTGTAGTTAAGCAATTTAACATTTCGGTTAGTGCCTCTTAAATGGAAATTATCTTTGCGTTACTGAATATCGACAGAACTAATTGAGAGAGTTGATTAGTGTTACTTTAAAATCTTGGCTATAGATAGAATAGCTATTTTTAGTTACGCGGAATAAAATTCGTAAAAGATTAGAGTTACGAACAATCCAAATAATTCGATTACTAATTGTGGGCCTCAAAATGGGTCGCTAACTGTCACTTTTTTCCAGAGTAGAAGATTTACGTCAGATTGTTAATCGGTCTGCCGAGTAACAGGTATTTCCCGTGAGAAGTCCTCGCGCCTGTTATTCACACGTCAATAAACGAATGCGACAGCTGTTTATATACCAATCAGAAAATAATGCGCGAACGGCGGATAACAACATCCTTTTCTCTTTCGGTAAACATCGACGGCTTAGTTGAAAAACTTTTAATTCATTACCGGACTTTGGAATATTCGTCAATATATCTCCACAGCGCACATTATCGTAAACTTATCGTTCCCTTGCGGAAAGATTTCGTTAATCCGGTCGTGGCCACGTCACGTACTTTCAGTTCTTTGCCTAAACGTGGTCCAAACGTGGTTTCGCTTTCTTCGCTCACTATTACGGTCTCGCTTTCTTCGCGGTTACGAAACTGCGACGGAATAGAAATATTCCGCCGATATTTATCTGAATATTTCAGATAATAAAAATTTCGCTTACCCGCGATAGAAATAATCACGTGTATCGCACGTCAATTTTTCTGCCGCTGCGCGTATAATTCAGCCGCGCCTCATTCAGAAATCGCTTCGGGAAAACGTTCGGCATAATTTTATTTAAAAAATTGACAGCGCATGCGGCGTGGACTTTCTACTTCAATATGCTGTCCTCGGTCGGTTGACTGCTATCAAAATGTTTTGCTTGATAAAGTGATCTTTGTACGTCTTCAAGAATAGAATTATGTAAATCGTTGTAAAAAAATTTATTCGGCTTTTTCTCATTTTCAAGACAATTTATAATAACAACAACAATGTGTTTATAGCATGCATTATACTTAAAGCTGCAGGAGTGCGAGAATATAGGTAGTACATACAAATAATAAGGCACCAATTGCTGTGAAGCTTACTAGTAAGAATAGAGAAATAAAAATGAAAGCACGGAAAAATAACTTACTGCAGAAATACAAAAATATACATGTGACAACAATAAAATTATTAAGAGGACCATACACTATAAATAATACAACATATGCATCTACTTGAATGATCAATGGAGTTTCCGAGCCGGTTTGTTAAAAAAAGAATTATCTTTTAAACGATAGCGCCGATAGCTGTTGTCTGGAAGTCAGAGGTTTCCTACTTCGTACACTCCGTACCGTAAAAAAGTTGACACTTATTTGCGTACAAATCAAATAGATCCGCCGCGATGTCAAGGCGCGTCCCCGTCTCCGCTCTATTTTACGCGGTAAAGAACGACTGTCGGCAAGAAATCAGCGTGACAGCGGGGCCTTTTTGCCGCCTTTGCCTCTAAATTGCACGTACAAGGGCGTCACAAATGACACCTCGCCGCGAAACGCTCTCGAATCGAGCTGCTGGAACCGGTTTTTCGATCATTACATTTCGTAGAAGCCGACACGCAGATTCCGGCCGCTAATTGCCCGGTATAACTTTGTATTATTGCTTCTCAATCCAGATCGAGTCAATTACAGTGCAAGAAAGCATCTACAATTATAATAAATTATATATTTCCTTCACAGTCTAGTTTATGTGTCACGGACTACTAAGTGAAATACTTCGCGTGCAATTTAGTTTAAAATAAAAAATACAATTTAATTAAAATCAAAAGATATACGCAGCTTGCAATTTAATTAAAATTGAAAAAAATATACGTAGATATAAAGTGTACGGATAATTATGTACGCGTGTGCGCGATACAAATGCGACCGCGGTATTGCGATTTACCCTTGAGTTCTTTCGATCCATCCTAGCTTCCCTAGTAGCACAGTGCATTGAACAAACATTGGTTGAACATTGGCCCAATATTTGGTTGTGTTGGGCCAACGTTTAGCCAATGCACTGTGCTACCAGGGTTTGGCTGCGTCCGATCGCGTCTCAAGATCAATCAGCTCCTCGTTCCTCTCCGCAATATGTGCAGCGGCACAACACGGGTTCGATGCAGTCTGCCTGCGAGAGCAATGTAGCCTACGGTGTATTTGTTGTCGCGTAAAAGTTGTTTCGCAGCTTGTTCTCGCTTCTTTTCCATCGCGTTTTCCAAACCGGTTTCATAGTCAACCGGTGCGGCGCGTCGCGCATCTGTGATTGAGAACCTTCTTCACGCACGGCGATCCGATATTGAGTCTTTGCGCAAGAGGGCACGAAAATTCGATTACTGTATTTTCGATCGCGAGCGTGCGTCTACCGTCGGCCAGAATTTCTTCAGCGAACGTTTTACCATCTATTCTGACGCAAGAACGGAAGAAAGACGTCATTATATTCGGACAACAAGGCTCTACACACAATACAGGAAATATTAGGAATAGGACTAAATATTAGAAGAAAGAAAAAGAGAAAGTGCTTAAATAAATATCTAACGCGCTACGAAAGATAACAAAATACAAGATATCAATGTACAAATTGTCCCGTAATTCCAAATATAACATTTGCATTCTAGCTTATAAATTTGAACAATATGAATTTAAATAGTTATTCCTATTCCTAATAATATTTCCCCTATTGTGCGCAGACTCTAAGAATGGCGAAGAGATATGTGCGTACAATAAATGTTGATGATTCTATAAATCATTTTCACGACGTATCCGCGAGCAATCCCTGGCAGTGTATTACAGAGCTTGGTATCTCGACTTGTTTCATCAAAGATACGGATACAAGATAAATTTTCAATAGATTCAGTGAAGACATACAGATACAAGTTACATTTCTTGAATTCCTTCGACTTAGATACAAGATGCACTGAGTTATTGGTGTGTTACCGTCAAGCATGTATCAAAATCTTTCTTCATATCGAGTTACTCATTGGAAATTTCTCATCAAGGACGACAGGCGCGGAGGGCAGCGTCACGATGAATGGCCATGAGAGAAACCTCAGTGCCTTCAGGAAACTCTCCTGCTACATCATGCAGGATAATCAGCTTCACATGAATCTAACGGTAGCGGAAGCTATGAAGGTTGCAGCGAACCTTAAGCTCGGCTCACAAGTCAGCCAAGCGGAGAAAGAAGAAGTGGTAAGCAAATGTTCTGACCCTTTGCCTCGGACAAACTCTTCAAAGTGCACAACGGTTGAATGTAGACGTTTATTCGTGTATAGATACAACACGTAAATATTAGGGGAACGCGGGGTATAAAGTGGAGTACTCAATACTTAAACTTGTCCGAAGGTCTGTGTCCTCTCCGAGAAATGTATGTTGCTTTAGTAGAATAGCTGCAAGCTGATTTGGCTACACATTTTTCGAGACCAGAACTTGGACCAAGTTCTAGCATCGTGGACACAGGCCTTTAAAGCTTAGGAGTAGAAGAAAATTTGGCTTTTCACAAGATATTTATTTACCATCTGACAAATCGTATACACAGTTGAAATCATGAATTTCTAATTGAAGCTGTTGTGTGCACTATTATACATTTACTTTCCCGAAAACACAGCATAAATAAATAAAACGTATCGGAAAATAGCGCATACACGTTGTAAATCTGACGATATGGCTACTTTTGCTGTAACCGCGTGAAATGGGAAACTTACAAATAATTTGAGATGATTCCGTTAATACATTTCAGCATTATACAGGCTAGAAAATACTGGTACCCCGATTTACCACATGTTCCCCTACGTATGTAAAAATATTACATAGCGATAAATAGTAAAATTCATCGTTGTATTTGCTGCTTGCTTTGTCCGCTACGGCGCTACGAAGGAAGTGTTATTTATTGTAAGGAAATCCGCGTAATTACATCCGCACGAATAATCAACATTACCTTAATTATTTGAGATAAAAAGTTTATGTATTCTTGAAACCGGTTGCATTGCTGCCTTTGTACTGCTTATCTCTCTTTGTCCTCAATTAAGGTCAATTGCTACATACGTATTTTACATATTATCGCGATTGAAATTAATTACATGTTCAATTCTTCCGTAGATCCAGGAAATCCTTGAGACTCTCGGCTTGTCCGAGCATCGCCGTACTATGACCTCGAATCTGAGCGGCGGTCAAAAGAAGAGGTTATCCATCGCCCTGGAGTTAGTGAACAACCCCCCTATAATGTTTTTTGACGAGCCGACTAGGTAAGTTTCAAATTTCGCGCCAAATATATTTTTTAGAATTAATTCTATACTTACGACCACGTTTGCACGAGTTTCAAAGTCAACTTCGTTTTTGAAAGTCAACTCTGGCATATCACTTCAGATAAGTACGTTGCATCGAGATAAAAATTATGGTGCATTGGTAAAGTATTGTCCTTAGAACATGACGTGTTAGGCTTGTTTTCTGTTCCTACACTGGTGAACTAGTGCAATAAATTAAAGTAGGACAAGCGTATTTTTTCTCATTCTAACTTACTGCACTAGTTCACCAGCGCAGGAACAGAAAACAAACCCATTGTAATTTTAATTTCTCCGTGTGTATACACGAGAATGGTAGTTTAAGAACGGGTTTTCTAACACGACTTGCTATCAACGAGAACGAAGGGGCAAAATGTGTATTGTACAATGCTTAACAGCGTATTCCGGAGGTTTGATCGAATAGATCTCCAGTCGATCAGTCTACAGGAAATCCAGCAACGATTTCTTTTGCTTTCTCTAAATGAGAGAAACTCCGCCGTTCCTTACTAATTTTCTTGATGTCGATTCGAATGTCGCTCTTGGCACGGCCAATGCCACCAGGATATCCCTTGTCTTTTTACAAGGTTACGAGGAAACGATTTCTTTCATATCTTAACAAACGCGTTTTATACAATTTACATTGAATTTCTCCTTGCAGCTTTCACGGAAGATCGATATAACTATCCAGATGTTCTGTAACTTCATCCTGCGAGATAACTGTAATAATAAATGATCATACGAAGATGTTTTTATTTTAGAGAGCATCAGGTCTGCCGCCAAAAATTAAGCAATTTGCCTTCACGCATTTGTCATCGCCCCGCAAGCTCAAGCATTGATATTCTATACGTAAAAAGATTATATACATGTGAATATCTGGCGTATCTCGTTTGCATTAGGCGACGTGAGATACAAAAGGGTAACGTGCAGTGGGAGAAAGTAAACTCGGTTTTTGACGTTTCTTTCTCGTCGGTGACTTTCACTCAGACGCTGCACGTCGGAAATTTTTGTATTTACAACGGCGCCGCATTCATTCCACGAATTATCGTACGCGAAACGCTTTTGACAAATAATCTCGTCTGTCCATATTTGCGTAGCGATACAGGTGCGATATAAATAATTTTCTCGACTCACGTTGTCCAAAGTTTAAGTTCGATTTCTTGACCTATAGTATCACGCGTTTCCTCGGGACATTTTTTGCTACATAACCGGTTCTGTAAGAAAACCGCTCGGTATCAGCTTCTTTTGTGATGACAGAAGCTCACGCCAAGCAGCTGAACATGACCGGTCCTTTCAAGGTCTTACTTGGACCAAGAATTTGGTCCTGCCTCTTAAAAAAAAGTCTCATTTAATGCCGCCGTTTGCATGCCGATCGATTACGCGAGAAAAGACTTAATGTGACTTCTTTACTAGTGCAAAATGGATACTTTGTGTGGATAAGCAACGTATTATATGTAGCTCCTTTTTACGCTGTCACAAATATATGCCAGCAAATACATGTATAAAGAGTAAAGTCTAAGTATATGCTATAGCAATTGGTTTTATTCGACTGTCTTTAGCGGCCTGGACTCCTCGTCCTGTTTCCAATGTATCTCATTACTGAAGACTCTGGCACGTGGTGGCAGAACGATAATATGCACCATTCATCAGCCTAGTGCGAGACTTTTCGAGATGTTCGATGCTCTCTACACGTTGGCCGAGGGTCAATGCGTTTACCAAGGTTCTACGTCGCAGCTGGTGCCTTTCCTGAGGACAATTGGCCTTAATTGCCCGAGTTATCATAATCCGGCGTCGTTCAGTGAGTACTTTATTACCAGTCTTTTATAATATTTTATAATATTTTATAATCACTTATAAATATTCTATAAATACTATTAGAATATATAACGTCTCTATTAAATGGTATTTTATACAGTAACTGTTTAACACAATAATATACAAATAACTGTTTTATATTAGAGTGATATAAATTAAGGAAAATAATTTTGAAGAAACTGCAGGGTCTACTGTAAGGTCTAGTTTATCTCTTATTTATAACATTGGTAATTTTCTTTTCGTTACGCAAACATATGCGACATGTTTCCGATATATTTTCCAGTAATTGAGGTGTCATGCGGCGAATACGGCGATAATATCAATAAGCTGGTCAATGCGATAAACAATGGCAAGTACGATATACGCGAAGGACACCCGTTTCCCGAGACGAAAGATGGAATGAACAATTGCACCGCTGCGGCGGGTATTTTGAAGAATGGTGACTTGGACAAAGTGAAGATCAAAGACAAGAACGACATTAGTAATTTCGAGGAGAAGTTCTCGGAAGGGAAAACTAGCGAGATTAGTAATGGAAAACTCATTCCCGGCTACGCTACAAACGACATTGCTAAACAAGGTATACAGCTTATTTGTCAATCTCGATATAAAATGAAGTCCGCAACATGATGACTTTCCAGTGTGTTGTTTATAAATTTAAAATAAAAATTATTTAGACACTAACATCTTGTCACGGCTCTTAGTCCTATATATTCCTTTGTGTTTATTAATAACTTTAATTAACATAATTCCGTAATTGCGACTTAAGTCTTAGTTTCCTGGAGAAAAGCCCATCCTATGTGGACCTTGGTTTTCTCTTGACATCATCACAGTTGCAATTTTTGATAGTAATATAAAGTAATATTACAATTAATAAACTTATAAAACGGACACAGTTAACGGGTCAGTAGAGTCTAAAAAATTAATTTTGAAGAGGTGGATCGTCAGTGAATAAAAAACAAAATTCGAGAATTATATCGACAATAACTGGCACAATATATTTTAATTAGCAAAAAACCGAAATATAAGTTTTCGATCTATTTTATATGTATTACTGTGATGAGTGATTCGGTTTTTTTTGACCATGTACTTCCATAAAACTACATACTTTGATATGTCACCCATTCTTTGCTGTCACATTTAATGGGTTAAACTTGATAAGGACCAGTATTACTGGTCGAAACGTCGTGTACTAATTAAAATATATTGTGCCAGTTATTCTCGATATAATTCTCGAATTTAAAAAGTTAATAACGCGTATGTACGCATATTATTGACTTATTAGGCTGTATCGGCCCGTTAACTGTGTTCGTCTTATAAGTTTAATATTATACTTTACACAAGCCCCTTGACTTTAGATTACTTTAATTAAAATTAATACCTTAGCACTGGATGTGGCAATACCTATGGATCTGGATAAGAAGGACAATGCCAACATAGCTCTTCTCGACGAAACCATCGTGGTTACACCAGAGAGATATCCCATATCTGAATTCAAGCAATTCTACATCATTCTGAAACGTGCTCTACTTTTCAGTCGTAGAGATTGGGTAGGTATCTGAGGAAGCAGACCACTTGCTTATTTGCAATCGCGAATGTTCTGATACTCGCAACCTCGATGTAACCGCGCGACATATACCATCGCTCTGATATACTTCTACTTTTAGATATTGTCTGATTCTAATATTCCTTTGATATGCCTACAGACTCTCATGTATCTCCGACTCTTCGCTCATATTCTGGTGGCGGGGTTAATCAGCGCGTTGTATTACGATATTGGAAACGATGGCGCCAAAGTACTTAGCAATCTGGGATTCCTGTTCTTCAACATGCTGTTCCTCATGTACACGTCCATGACAATTACAATTTTGTCCTGTAAGTCGCCCGCGATTATCATACTTGTTACTTTCGCGACCGCGTTCTTTTCATGTACATCGCGATACACCTATAAAATACTCACTCATATTCTTTATTTGTAGTCCCGTTGGAACTGCCTGTGCTATTGAAAGAGAACTTCAACAGATGGTACTCTCTCAAGTCGTATTACTGTGCGATTACCCTTTCGGATATACCGTTCCAGGTAAGATCCGTCGAGTAACGACACAAACGAAGCTGTTGTACAGTAAATAAATGACTCTCACGCTCTTTGCTTTTTAGACGGTATTTTGCATACTGTACGTCAGCGTCGTATACTTCATGACAAGTCAGCCAGCGGATGTAACGCGGTTCTCCATGTTCTTGAGCACCTGTCTGCTGATTTCCTTCGTCGCGCAATCAGTGGGTCTCGTGGTCGGCGCTGCGATGAACGTGCAAAACGGCGTGTTCCTGGCGCCGGTGATGTCGGTGCCTTTTCTTCTCTTCTCAGGATTCTTCGTCAGCTTCGACGCGATCCCGGTCTATCTGCGATGGATCACGTATCTCAGTTATATCAGATACGGTTTCGAGGGAACTGCTATGACCATTTACGGCTTCGGCCGAGAGAAATTGAAATGTTTTCAGGTAGGTTTAATGCCGTATCTGGGACGTTAGCAGGGTGTCTACTACCAAGAAAAACCTGGGAAACCTGGAATTCCCAGAGAATTCTTTTTTGCCTGAAAATCAGTGAATTATTAGGGAATTTTTGTTGTCCGTTTATATTTTATGAGTAATCGAAAGTTAGCCATATGACCAAATTAGTAACAAAGTGACAGAAAATTTATACATGTGTTGGCGGAGCGATAACTACTGGTCCAAGCATCATTTTATCTTTAAATTTTACTTTCTTGCGTTTCTTCGAAATAAAAGACTAAAATTTTAAATAATATAAAATGCCTGCAAATCTGCTTTTCTTACTTGAAAATTATTATGATTTTCAAATTTTTCTCTTTATGATTGTGTAAGTAGCATACATACTGTGAATGAGATAAGAACAATCCTATACAATAATTAAATTTATTTTAAATTTGCATCGAAAACTATAATATTAACCATAATTTTTCTTGGAAGTTTTAATAAAAACACGTGAAAAATCGGAGAATTCTCAAAGAAGTTTTTTTTTTTCAAGAAATAAAGTAGACACACTGTTTAGTCGTCGCGGCCATCGGTTGCGAATAGTATTGTTGAATTATCATGCGTCTTTTTAGGTGTACTGCCACTTTAAGAATCCAGAAACGACCCTGGAGGAACTGGACATGCTCGACGCTGATTTTACTTTGGATATTCTTGCACTCCTGCTCATCTTCGTCGTACTGCGAGTCTCCGCGTATCTTTTCCTGCGTTGGAAAATCAAGACCGCCCGGTAGACTGTCGCACGTAAGCGCTTTATAAAATCAGATGTGGTTGCGATGTGGACGGACAAGTTAGCACAAATGTTACCTTTCACCGTGTAGAACTGCGCAGATATGAACGGGCGCGCTTTCCTAATCGGTAATCTCGTAATGATATTTCAAAAGGGTGATATGAAGACTCGGTTCCGATGCCTCACAATGCAATTAAGACACAAGGAAGTTTGCGAAAATGGTGGTTTTCCATTCCTCGATGAGAACTCTTACGGCGGATAACTACTCGCCGTCGAAGAGGCACTGGTATGTTTCGAAGGTACCGCAAAGTATGACTTACTTTCTTTCGCGGTTTTTTTGCTGAGTTTTGTTGATATATAGAACCAATACTAATGTAACTTATTTATGTAATTTAGTTTAATAACGACGGCTAGTAGTTACGATTGTAACATATTTGTCCAGGGTACTATTCTATAGTATACTATAGCATGTACACTATATATATATATATATTTATATATATATCCGAAATATGTACCTTCCCTTTTTTTACTGTATCAGTACACATTTTTGTTAGAAATGCAACGTTTAAAACGCAACACGCATCAATTTTGAATTTATCGTCGAGTGAATTCAAACGTTCATCAGGGCGATTAATAACATTGAGATATTACATCGAATGTGACGAAAATCGTTTCGAGTGTAGTCGAAATAAAACAATAGTTGAAAGTATTTAGACAGCCTTGAACGTTTTGAGAACATTTTTCTTTTTTAACATTACGTTATCTCAATTCGTTATTTACCCAAGAGAAATAAAAAGTCAAGATGATGTCAATTTGATATCAATTTGATAATTTGATTGGTCATATTGACCAAATTTATGTCATATTTTGGTCAATGTGACATGAAATTGACGTCATCTTGACTTTTCATTTTTCCTTGGGTATTTTGCAAACAGACCGGTTTCTTATTTTAAAAAATTTTAAACGTCCAGATACTCAAACACCTTAAACGAAGTTTCAAAACTTTCAAGACTTTCACGAACCTTCCAATTTCGAATAAAAATTGGCAAGATTCGAAGCATTTCAAATCTTTGTGCGCTTAAATCGTTAAAACAATTTTAAAAAGAAGAATTCAAACGCTTATTACTAAAATATGTAGCTCGACGGCGTAAGGATAAATTCGCGCGTGATCCTCGGGAGGAACTTATCAATCACCCCCAATCATGTCTAACCTTCGACGAATACGAGGCCTTAATTGATAACGTATTTCACGAGCGATCACTCTATTCTATCTAATGGCTGTGAGTTTCATGATGCAAGAAAAAAGAAAAGATTAAAGAAAATTAAATACGAATGCTTGTATTCTTAAAATGATACTTGGACAAAGCGACGAATGTCCGAGGTTATTTATAAGCATTAGCAGCGGAAGGGCTATTTTTAAGAGGGAACTGCAGCCCTATTACCTTCTCGGACAGGTAGTGCGATAACTGAGGAGATTTCAAAGTTCTTCTGGTTTGTAGAAATAAAAGCAAAAATGAAATCGATTACATTATTAAATATGTATTGTATCTATATAACAGAAAATATTACAAATATAACTTTTGTAGACAAGCAGGTAGGTAACATTTTATTTAAGTGGAATCTTTCTGATCTTCTTGGTAAAAGTATTCAATACGTCTTCCGTAGTGATTTGTTTGATTCTTTTTTATAACATAATATTATAATTATCAGTGCACAGTAATTAATCCTCTATAAACCCAATTTTGTTCGTGTCTGAAAACGAATTATACATACATCATGAACAAAGGGAAAATTATTTTAAAAGTCGACTAAACTGGTAAAAAAGTGATATTTAAGTCACTTAAAGTTGTCACTTTTTGCCAGTCTGATCGACTTAAAAAAAAATTTTTCCTTTGTTTAATTACCACTGGCGACAATAAGCTTCACTCAGTTTTGTTGATATATCATGAAATTAGCAAACATTAATCTTCGGATAAAACTAATAATTGGTTAGCGATTTTTTAATTTTTATTATAAAAAGACGTTTTATAACTTGGGAAAGATGCTACGCTAAGCTGCGTGTGATGAAAAAATTAAATAAGATTTAAAAAATACAGATATATGAACATGTGATTTCACAATGTCGCATGGCATTATGGGGGATTAATATTATGCAATATGGGCTCATTTTATTGATTTAAAAAAAAGAATAAAAACAGATTCATAATGTGAGAGGAATTGGGGAGGGAGGGGGGGGGGGCAGCTGACCCTTCTGCCGCGTGTGTTTATAAGTGCACGAATTTTTATACATCTTGCCAGATTATATCTTGAAAATCAGGTGTTTTTAACGCTTTATAGAGAACGACGGTTCTATGACAGACTTCGCCGACAAAAACAAGCGTTTACACAATCCTGTAATGAATATTCGCAGCCACATTTTTTCGCCAAACGGCGAGCAAATGTACGGATATTCTTTCGACACATACTAGATCAGATGCGAGAAACAAGTTTTTACAAATTTTCGAGAATGCATGATGAAATTATCAAGTTGATTCCTTGCGCGATTTATTGCCACCTCTCGTGCATAGAATACGAGATAATTTCTCTTAACAATCTCGACCTTTTTGGTAACAAGTCGTTAAGTAAGGAAAAGAATAAAATTTCTAAAAGCAAGAGAGAAAAACGGCAATTTAAAGCGACTCTATGTAAGCATAAATTAGTATATAAAACAAGTTCTTGTTTTTATATTCTCATAATTCACCGAAGTTAAGGAATTGAATCGGTGGTTTAATTATAGATACGACTATATATAAATGGATAAAAATAACCTTTACAATGCGACATGTATATTTTTACCCAAATGAAATGAACAATAATCAATCGATAGTGTACTCGATTGTTAATATAGGTATACTTTTATAAAGCGAGGTGCATCAAAATGTGCGTGTTCTCGATTGCGCCGATTTGGCATGATTGTTAATGCATAGTTAACGCTATATGTTATAATACGAATAAAATATGCTTTTCGTAATTTGATATGTATATATATGTTATATATATATGCACATACATACGTACACATATATTTATGTATATTTCGATTTCAATAAGTTTTGTTACATTATCATTATTTCTTTTTAATCCTCATATCCTTATCCCATTATATAAAATATGAATCTTAAATTTCTTTCATGGGATTTTCTTTTAGCAAATTAAAAATACGCGTACCTGTTAGATTTATATGCGTAGGCAAAATAATTTGATAAATCGTATTATGCCATAATTACATATATCGCAGAAAGATAATTCTTTCGAAAGATGCTTCAACTTTTGACCAAATAAACAACTGCGTAATTATGTCATATATTATTTTGTTTGGTTATTTGTTTTTCTTTTTTCAGCGATATTAGATAAATGTCATTATCCACCATTTGACCAAGACCTACGCTCTTTAAAATAATAGATACAATATGATCAGAGTACATTAGATTACACGCAATTTCAATCATATTCTATCTAATGTTTTAAACAAGGTATGTAATGTAATCTGTTTTTTTTGCTATTATTCCATATCGGTTATCATACGTAAAGTAACAAGTAATTGTATCTTTATAGTGACTACATTAAAGGAGACATACACTAATAAAATGTCTCTCACAATACGTTGTGATTATTAATGATGTGCATTAAATGACGGATCAAAGATCAAAGAATCAAAATATGTAAATCAACAGGAAATAAGAACGCCAATATAAGGTCCGAGCAACATGTAGGTAGCTCAATGATTTTATACACCATGTGAATTCGTATACCGTTTCTTTTCAAAATACAGGGTGAGTTATAACATTTGTGCCAGAGCTCATGAGAAGGTAGAACGGATCGAGATGAACAGAAAAGTCCTGAACCATTTGCAATTTTCGCAATAATTAACGAGAAATAAATTATCGAAAATCGTCGTCTTTGCCCTGCCCACTGTCCAATTCGAGCGCGTGGCGAGATGTGACCGCACGGCGATCGATATTGCCAGGCGAGGGGG